GAGAATAAGTTAATCATATTAGTGTGAAAGGTACAACCCAAAGCACTGTCCAATATAGTCGAGGCTTTATAAGCAATAAACTCAATCAAGAAAACATGTTTAATAGTTTCAACCTGAAAGAAACACTGAAATCTATAAACAATATTGAGACCCTTAGATCGAAGTCTCCAGTCAACCGGAAAGAAAATTTTAAGAAGCAACCAAGCGAAAACCGAATAGATAGTGGGAGTATCATTACTCCAAATTCTTCCAAATACAATGGAGTTATCAAATTTAACTCTTATGGTATTCCAAACATTTTTAGAGCAAAAACCACCATCTTTAAAATTCTTAAAAATCATAATGTTAGAGATATTTATCTTAAAAGGTATGTTAAAAATCCACCGGAACTGGAAGAACATCAAGAAAATGATTACAATCCCAATTCCCATTTATAAGAAAATTAGAAACTTTTGAATTCAAAAAATATAATAAATGTGTAAAATCTCATCTAAAGAACCAAAACTTGACCAATTTTCTTACCAAAAGAAACAATTTTTCTTACCAAGGTCATATTGCAAGAAGGATTCACCCATTCACTTAATCATATACAGTCTATGCCAAATAGGAGATTGTCCATTCTTGAAGAAATAATAGGAAGGATGATTTGAACCGCAATACTTCTTGTTCATATAATTAGCCCATAAGAAATTGTTTAATATAAATTTCCACCAAGTTTAATAGAAGCTTTTTTAACCATATCCTTTATAGCTTTACAACCAAGCCCACCTTCTACAATGGGACCTGTACAAGTAGACCTGTCAATATTGGACCCGACCCGAACCCGAAGCGGGTCGGGTTCGGGTTCAGAAAACTAATCCGTTTGCAAAACCGGGTCGGGTTCGGGTTGACCCGGAAACCCGCAAATGACCTGGGAATGACCCGAATCTACCCGACTGCGTCTGCGACCCCACCTGCCCCACACGCGTCGCTAGCCACAGACAGTCGCTCGCGACCTCGCGTCGCTGCCTTGCCGGCATCGCTGCCGCTGCCTCGCCGGCATCGCCGCCGCTGCCTCGTCGGCATCGCCGCCCCTACACGCTACCGGCTGCTGCTGCACGCTGCTGGCCTGCCGACACAGCGATGCTGCCTCTCCCACGCCGCTGCTGCTGCTGCACGTTGCTAGTCTCGCCACCGCTGGCCCGCTGCACGCTGCCGGCATCGCCGCCACTGCCTCGCATGCTTGAATAGTGGAACTCAAAAAAATCAAACCAACGCGGGTCAGGTCGGGTTGACCCGAACCCAAAGCGGGTCGGGTTCATGTTCAGAAAATCGACTCGTTTGCAAAAACGGGTCGGGTTGACCCGAACCCGAATAGTGCCGGGTTCGACCCGAACCCGACCCGTGACCCGAAATTGACAGGTTTATGTACAAGAGACCCTAGATCTCCAATAAATGTTCTTGGACTTAGAAGTGAAACCCCAAAAAAAAAAACTTATTAAAGATCTTCTCCATTCTTTCATGAGCCTCCAAAGATGGATTAAGAGTTTAAAATAAATATGGTGGAAGGGAGGAAGGAGCACACTTAATAAGAACCTACCGACCACCCAAGAAGGCCAGTTTAAATTCCAAAGAATCCAATTGAGTACTAATTGGTTTAAAAACTTTATATAAAATAAAGATTTTCTTAATGCCCTATATAAATCAGGGTAACATTAAAAAAATAAGGAGCTTTTGCATAGAAAAACCCATAAAGAGGAAAATATGATTAATATTTCTTTGAGTCATATCTTTACTAGGAATGAAAGAACACATATTAAGGTTAAAACTTAAGCCACTTTCTAGACTAAACATCAAAAGAAACATACAAATCTTCTTAACATTCTTGAAAGAACCAATATAGAAAATAATGAAATCATAAGCAAAGCATAGGTGAGAGATAGGCAAACGGCCTTTATTAATAAAAGCAAACTATTATATTAAGAAAATAAATTATACAAGTCTCTAGACAAATAATCATTAGTAATAATAAAGATGGCAAGCAATAGAGGGTCTCCCTATCTAATACCCCTACAAGCTTGGAAGAAACCTCTACTTTGACCATTAATAATAATGGAGTACCAAACATTTTCAATGATGTTAGAAATTAAAGAAATAGAAGTCTCATTAAATCCAAATAGCTATAAAACTTTATAAATAATCTTGCAATTGATATTATCATATGCTTTAGAGATAACTAATTTAATCATCATATTCTTGCCAAAAACATTAAGGTTATTTACATGAATGAGCTCTTGAGCTAATAAAACATTATCCACAATACTTCTACCTTTAACAAAGCAATTTGATATTGGGAAATAATTTTAGCCAGAAAATGAGACATCCAAGAAGAAAGAATCTTTGAAATAATCTTATTAAAAGTAGAACATAAGCTAATTGGTCTATAATATGACCAATATGATAGATTATCACATTTAGGATTAAGATCAATAGAAGTGCTAGTAAATTATTTAGGAATAGCCTACCCAAAAGAACCTTTAATTGCTCTACAAATATCATCTTTAATGATAAACCAATATTTTTGGAAAAATGAAAAGTAAATCAATCAGGACCAGCAACAACATCCTTGTTCATATCCATAAGGATATTAAAGATTTCAATATCCTCACGACATTTATTTAGCAAATAATTCTCCTCATCATTAATAAGAAAAGGAATAATGAAAGCGATATTAACAAGATCCACATTTTTCGAGATACTTAGAATATTCCTAAAGTAATCAATTTCTGTTAGCAACATCCTTTTCGTTCTCAAAATAAAACCTATAATGAAGCTTAATATTACGAATAAAAGATTTAGCCCTTTTATTGTTACGACAAGTATGAAAATACTTGGTACTGCAATCTCCATCTGAAATATATTTAGCAATAGTTCTGCCAATATTCCTCTTCCATAAATTGCAAATCCAAAACAGTTTTTTTATCATTGAATAACTCAAATTTATTCACATCTGAATTATTAAGTATAAAATTTTCCTCCAAACAGATAACCTTGTCCTCAGCCTTTAAATTTTTTTCAAATAAATTGCCAAACACATTCTTGTTCCACCATCTAAGAACCTATTTAAGCCGCTTGAACTTGAGAGATAGTAAATGATATCATTAGTACCCTCATACTAATCTAAGGGGGCTTTCCAATTGGCTCAACCACTTTAAGAAAATCAAAAGAATAAAGCCACATATTTTGAAACCAAAATGGAGTAAAAATTTTAAGAATATTAGTATTTATATAAATTAAAAGAGGATAATGATCTGAAATAGTTCTACTGAAGTGCTAAACCATAGTATAAGAGAAGGCAGCAACCAATCAAAATTAAATTGAATTATGTCAAGCCTTTGCCAAAGATAATTATTGGACCAAGTAAACTTAGAACCCAAAAATCTAATGTCAACCAAACCACATTCCAAAATCATATTATTGAAATCATCCAAGTAGAAAAATTGGGAGTAACACCTAAATGTTAGGAAGTATTCAAAAAAAATATTAAAATCTCCATCAACAAACTAAGGACCTCTCGAAGAACAAGAAAATTCACATAACTTATTCCGTAAAGGAAAATGACTAGCTTTAGAGAAACTAAGATAACAAATATAACCAAAAAGTAACTGATTGTTGATGCTTGAAGTACAATGAATAACTTGATCAAAATTAACTAAAAAAGAACATTTAATAGAAGCATTCCAAATAGGCCAAATTTTTCTTGTTGGAATTAGAGAAAGAAGAAGAGAAACCAAGCTTTTTCTAACACAAAGCCAGCTTAGAAGAATCAATAAGGGGTTCCAAAATAGCTAAAAAAGATACATTATGGATTCTACAAGGGTTATAAATACGAGAACGAGAGCGACTATTACCCACTCCTCTAACATTCCAAATATGGTACTTAATAATTAAAAAAAATAGATTTAAAAGTAGCTTTATATCTAGTATTCCTTGCTTGGGAAGCAAGCACATCCAACCTATTCTTTTTATTATTTCTTTTCTTTTATTTACACCGTATTAATTTAAAATCATCAAAAGAAGAATGCCGAGTTTTTAAAATAGAAACATTTTCACCTTTTCAATGAGCATCAACATTAGATCTTTATTCCCCTTCTTCCCAAGAAAAAATAGATTTATTAGAATGAGATTCATCAAATGATGAAGTAGCCATATCATTGGAACTAAAAATTTGCTAATTGGGTACATTTAGTTTAACTAAGTTAGGCCCACCATTAATGATATTCAAGGTAGACAAACCATTTCCATCACTAATATGTTTAATAGATAGATTAACTAACTAATCATAAACAACATTCTCGTTATTCACATAATTAATATTACCCAGTATATCCTTATTACTAGAAATAGTAGGTATTGCAAGCACAAGATCAATGCTACTAGATATATTTTAAGGAATAATAGGTGAGCAATTATGGGGGACGATACCATTACCAGATTTTGTGCTAGCCGTAAAAATGTTCTAAGCATTTAACTGACTAGCGACCTTAGGAGGTTCTGGGCACTCCATGCTAGGGATTTGAACAAAAGGTATTTTTCATTAATAGGACTATCCACTTTAAGATTAAGCGGTTCATGTCTAGCTTACTGAGTGGAGGGAGAAGAGTTAGTTTTTATCACCATGTTATATTTTTAACAAATTTAGATGCAAATGAAAGAAATCCATTTTACTATGGCCGAAATCCTTACAGTGTTCATAAAATGAAGGAGTATCACTAAAAATAACTTTCTGAATATATCCATATTTTTATGCCAAAACTAAATAAAATCTAGTTACCATTTTGTGATATTTAGTTTAACCAAGATACGAGACACGTACGGTCAGGAGCTAGCCACGGTAGCACTATCAATTTACAATGGCCTTCCGAATAGGGATCACAAACCATGTAGGATTCTGTGAGTAAATAGGCGAGGACACAAATAAGGAAAAGCAATCTAATCAGGAAAAAAGAGAGCAATCGCAATGTCAATAATCGAATATCATTTAATGAGTTTCATATAACAGTTAAAAACATTGTAAACATTCCTGGTAAAGATACCATTGTAATCCAAATCATTAAATAATTTTATAAGCACAAGCCTAGTATCAAGCATGGTCATAGAGAATTCCTCAGACAACTTAAGTGAAAATTTGAAATTCTGGATATTGTCCAAGGAAGGACGTCTGATTGAGAACTTACCTACAAAAGGAAATTTGAAGGGGGCAATTAATGCAAGTATTTCTTCTTCAATGGTCCAAAGAGAAGATAAACCATGATGTATTGACTGAAATAAATCAGAAAAAGCATACGATGAAGAGCTTGAAGCTAAATCATCCTTAAAAGATTTAGAGGACTTCTTTGACTCTAAGAAATCAGAACACTCAGGGGTTGATTAGCCATAAAAAATCAACCAAGACACAAAATTGAAAACATGAAAAGCAAACAAAAGAAAGAATCAGATGAAACTGATAAAAATTGTAAAACATAAAAAAAAAACCCAAATGAGAAGCATAAAAATTGAGAAAGCCAAAATTAGAGTACATGAGAGTGAAGGAAACTTCCCTGAAAAGAAATGGAGGTGGAAGTGGATAGATCGAGTGCATGGAGAGAGCCGCCCCAACCAAGAAGAAAACTCTAGCAGAGCAAAAGATGAGATGTGGATGAATATATCTATGAAACATCTTAACAGGATTAAAAACTTCTAAAATATGAAAAGTATTTAAAAAATATGATTTGATATTTAAAATATGATGCAAATCTAATCCAAACATTGTGATTTTGATGATAACAATTTTTTTTATTATGTTATTACTATTTTTTTGAAATTTTATTTTATTTTGTGTATACTAATGTTTCAGGAAATTAGTACACCATTCACTTGCAATTTTGATCAGCTACAGACTGGGTAGACTAGGGTTACAATATGTATTTTTCAATTTATTATGTATTTTCCCATTTTGAGTCATATCAAGTAATTTGGTGGATATGATTGCTGAGTAACCTTACACACATATAGTGGGAGAGACAAAAATATTTTTGAGAGATTTTTATTTAGTAATTTATACTATATAATTTTGGCTTCATACTGTATGACTTATATTTGTATTGTACGATCTATTGTACTCTATCAAAACCCTTGTAGCTAGCGGTTAAGAAAGATACTAATTATATACTGATTATAAGTACGATTTGGTTTGTAATGTATGCCCTATTTAAAATCTTTATGAATTAATCCCTCAAAATCAAGCAATCAAATCATGGACAATTATTATCATTAATCATATTATATGATTGAGTTTGTATACACGATTGATAATGTATAAAATTGGTAATCCTAGAGATCAAACTAAATAAAATCAATGATTTTTGTACTAATCATATTGTACGATGTCTATAGTGCTAGAAGATCGATAGTGTGTGAAGTTGGTTAAGCCAATAGTCAACCCAAACAAATAGAAGGAATTTCTATAATTAGTATCAAACGATCTTTTGATCGTACTATATAAGGTGTTATAAATGTTGAACAGTTTGTCTACACGAACTTGTTGGTTAAGTATAAATTCCACTGATCATTCGGTATGATACGTGTATTATACTATATGAACAGAAGATAAAACTGTTAAAAATTAGGGTTTCTTGAAGTCCACTACTTAAGGTTTTATAATACTTACATTAGAAAATCTTTAGTTGTTTTATACTTCAAGAGAGAGAGCCTTGAGGGAGAGAAGGAGACCTTTATGAGAGAATATAGAGAGATTTTGTGAGGGAGATGTTATGTGGAGATTCACAAGGTTCCTCAAAGCAAGAATCTTACCTAATATCTATAAGCGCCTGGATTCTCTATGACTCCGGAGAAGAAGTTCTTTAGCAAAGATTGTGTTTGTTTGAAAATCACCTGGAGGATTAAAATAGAATTGTGGTTCTTCGAACATAACCTTGAGAGTGATAATAGTATTGTGGTTCAGTGACCAATACCTGGAGGATGAAAACAGAGTTGAAGTTCTCCGCATTTAAAAGAGTCAGGTTCTCTGCAACACCGAGTTGGTGAAATTGCATATGTAAGGGCTTATCTTCCTTGCTATAACAGAAAAAGGAGAGTCACTACTATTTAGTGCAATATTTGGAGAGGGAGTCTTGAAGGAGTGGGCATAGGTCAGGTTGTCCAAACCACTATAAATTCTGGTGTGTTCATTCAGATTATTTTCTTTAGTTTATTTTTTTGTAATTATATTTGTGGTTGAAAAATCTGATTTATTTCATTATTGTGAAATTTTCTTAATTTTACATCCACTTTGTAGATTCTCCTATGTCGGTGTGAAAGGTTTTTAAATGATTTCATTTTCCCTAAAGAATTTTTAAATATCAAATTCACACCCCTCTTGATTAGCCTCGGGATAGTTCATAAAGGTTTAATAACCTTCACAAAGTTTCAAACTATAGCACAGTCATGCAACACCTTTAAACACTGAAACAATATGGTTTAGAGCACAGTGGCACTGAAAATGCCAGCTGTGATGTCGACACACGATTCTATATTAATTTTAAACTTGACATGCAACACTACGACAATATATGGTTGAACTATGATGCTATCCAGTAAAAATATTTTTATATATATTTCCCTCCACTCAGATGTTTTCTCTATAAACTCACATTGTTGACCCATATATTGAAATGGGCGCAAAAAGTGGCAAACTTGGTGATATAAGTGATGATCCATGAGCATGACGCTTCACTTAAGTTGTCAAATGAGCTTTGATCGCCAAACAAACTATGTCGTTGCAATCAAAGAGTCAAATTTTCCTATGAGAGAGTCCCTCACAGTCCAATTGAGCAAGAAAGATCAAAATCGACAACCGACACCCCAAATTAACCGCAACACTATTGAAATGGTGTTCGAGAGCAAAATGGACTTCTTTGTTGCATTCGAAACATCGAAGTAACCTAAAGATGACTATAATTTCATCCAATGAAACTCTCCCAAGTAAATTCACCAAAAATGATGAAGTTAATACCCAAAATGAGGCGAGGGCATGCATAACAAGATGATGGCATGCAAATCAAAGTGAAAATGAGATTCCCACTCATTTTTCTTTATTATTTATAATAATAATTATTTTTATAATAATAATAATTATTATTATTACTATTAAATATAAAAAATCAAAATTAACTCAATTTAAACCAGCCTCAAATGTCCAGCCCCGACTTTGATTGAATCCAAAAAATCCCAGCAACATTCGCATCTCCTCCCATAAACCTTGCGACTCGCCTTGCTCAAGCTCCACTCTCGTTGATAAAAAAAAATGGAACGACCTATTTGTTCCACTTCTTCCAATCACGAAATCCTTCATACTTTGTTAAATATCTCCCAAATGAGCTACCGATTCCACCTACTTTGATCCCGTCAGCTGCTTGCTTTGACTCTCTTCCTCCTCACATGATACACTCACCCGAGCTGATCTCTACTTTTGATCAAACTTCATATAGCTGTTCAAGTAGCTGAATTCCCCTCCAACCACAACTATTTGTCTATACAAGTTGAGCCTATTAATTCACTTTATTAAGACCTTGTCACTTAAGTATGCTGAGCAACTCTCTTCTTAGATCTCCACTTTCCATATCTACCTCCATCTCCTAGAGCGCATGGAATCGAAGACCGCCGCTCCATTCAACCTTCCTCAGCCCCAATCCCTCCAATCCTAAATAGCTCTCTCCTACACCTACCTGACCCATCCAATCTCAATCAACATTCTTATTCAATAAACATAACTCTCTATCTCCTTCTATCCGATCTTTATACATAACAACATCTCCTGCTACTTACTACTTGATCCCTCAACTCATACTAAATCTTCATAGTAGCAACATAGCAATCCTGTACAACACTCCATAGATTATCTAGAGAACCTCTGAGCCTATATTAGTTGCAAACCTAGAGGGTATAATTAATAAGGCAATCAAGGCTGTTGTAGCTATTCATTAGGTGGAGAAGGTTTTATGTAAAGGTCACCCAAATTCAATAGAATATGACCAAGTGTCATATCCAAAGGTGAATTCTATCCAAAAATTCAATACCTCTAGTTGCAATAATAATCCAAAGTAGCACCTAACACAATTCAAAACCACTTATAGAAATACAGAAGGCATCGATGCATTGCTCTTCCAATAATTCATCAATAGTTTAACTTTGATTACTTTTAAATGGTAGATTAAATTTTGAAATGATTATATAAAGACATTCATAGAATTTGAGACGCTATTTTTGAAGAGGTTCCCAAGTGCAACATAGAAAACTATCATTACTGACCTTGCCTTGGAGAAATGGAAAAGAGATGAGTTATTAACCAAATATAAATCCCTCTAGGATAATCTAAGTATAAAATATAAACAATAGTTTGAAGAGGAGTATATCATTCAATTATTAATGGGAAAAAATGATAATAAGATGCAATCATTATTTTACATGGCTTCTATTACCACCTTCCAATATTTGTTGGATAGTGTGGCAAAATTAAAATGTTAAACTGCAAAAAACTATAAGCCACTGTTACAAATTTAAGAAGGATAAAGCTCTAGACCCCAATAAGGTTGAAGCCCTCTCCACATTCTCTTACAGGACTGATAAGTGAAAGCAAGTGGAAAATAATGTCGATAAGAGAAAATAAACTTTTTATAGAGAAGATAGAGGAAAACAATTAGCTAACTTTAATCCCTAGCCAAATCTAGCAAACAGAGAAAATAAAAAGCCACAAATTTTTTTTCAAAGGAGGAGAACATCCATTACAAATAATGGGATCTAATGATCAAAGAATCCCATCCCTTAAAGCGAATGTGAATAAAGAGTATCCATTCAAGAGGGAAAGTATCACCAAGTTGTTTCAAAAAGCACTCATAGCGGGTCTAAAATTGCGAGAAAGCAAGAAGCCCAAAGAATTTGATCATCTTGGCAAGTCAAAATATTTCCCATATCATCATGTAATTATCCATCCGATTGAAAATTGCCACTTCATCAAGGATTAGCTAGAAAGAAAATATGAAAAGCGAGAATTCACTTTTCTAGATAATGTTTTAGTTCATTCAAAAAAGGAATCAACCTGAATGTTTATGTCCTATTCCATACCCCCAACAAAAGGAAGAATAGAAAAAGAACTAGCTCAAAAGGAGCAATGGGAGACCGTTGAAGTCTTCTATTAATTCATGTGCTTGACATAAAAGGTTTTCTTGTCGCACAAGCATCTACTCTCAAACAATACCCTAGCAAAGTTAGCTAGTTAAAGTCTTGTTAGGAATAATCAAAATCCTCCAAGAGAAGAACCAAACTGGTAAAAGAAGATAGCAACTTCAAAGGCTATTGACATTTTGGATGATTACTATCAAAATTATAAGATGTCATATTAAGCTCAATGACTTTATGCAATTTATTACAGTAGCTGAAGTAGAAGAAGCAAATAAAGTCTAACTTCCTTGAGAGATGTGTCGGTTCATTTTTGTGACATCAGATAGGTCATTAAAAGAAGAATATGTTGAAAAAGTGTCTTTTGAGCTCTGTCTAATGATGTCACCAATGGACTATAGTTTAGAGGAAGGTTTATATTTCCAATTTTGGGATGATTCAAAGCCTTATATAGCATAACAGATGGAGCTTGTAAAGTTGGGTGATGATTCTAAATCAAAAAA